AAGGGAATTGTTAAAAAATAGGTACAAACATCAGATAGAAACAAAAACCTAAACAAACACTTCTATGTACAAAACATCATAAAAATACTTGTTTTATTTACCTCGCGCTGCCGTCCTTGTACTGCCGTGAACAGGAAATTCTGGGAATGGAGGACGGAGAGTTTAATCGATTCGTCTTCAACAAACCGATCAGTGTGACATCAAAACATCGCGAGAACAACAGACAGCTCCGTGTGCATTTGAATCCATCTCGCAATATTGTATCACTTCAGGTACGCGCCTACAGATTCGTTGATTCAAACGAGTTGTGAATCAAGAAGCCTCTAAAGATCCGAATCAAACTGCAGCAGCACGCCACGAGGTTTTGCTCAGACTTTTGGGACGTTTGGAATTGCTCCGTCTCGTCACTATGTAACACATGTGAGTAAATCGTTGTTAGTAAATAACGCTACTGTTACGATTAGAAATTGTGCATTAACCAGATTATATTTATTATGTTTCATTTGTTTTAGCATAAAATTAATGCTAGTTCATGGCCGAATCTAAACGGCCAGCAGCGAATATTTACCAATGTTTACTGTCGTTTACTTTGCACATCTTAGAGATGTTGCCAAAGTTCTTCTGAATTTAGTTTCTTCATGTCATTCCAGATAGACTGGATTATAATCAGTTCAGATCTCTGTGGCTGTTGTCATACTCAGACTATTTTCTCCCTGTATAAGTTAATTACAGCTAATGAATTATTAAATAACTATTAAAGTTAATGACAAAAATAATGTTTGGAAATGTAAATTGATATATCAAACTGGCATGCTACAGAAAATATCAAACCCCCCCCCCCCCACAATTACTAGTAACGTTAGCCTAGCACAGTAGCCTACTATATAAGCCTTTTCCCCTCTGCACTTTAATTATTATCACTATAAATGATCACAATCTCCCATATGATCTAATCATAGTACTTTTGTTTGATAGTAATGTATAGTGTCTGTATGGTATCTGTAAATATTTAGTATGTGAAATTGTTGGACAACCACCACACACACATAAAACAGCAAAATAAACATGTCTACAGCTTACTAAAAGCCTTTATGTCTGTGCATATATTTTATATAAATGCAGAGCAGCAACACCCATGGGATTTCATCAGCCACTCACCATCAGAGTCCTCAGTGGAAGCTGAGAAGAGCAGAAGAGGAAGCCAAGCAAGAGATGCCAGAAAAAAGGGGGAATGAAATATTTTGTTATTTTGCTGTCTGAGTATAGGCAGGTGCAGTGGGTAGCACAATCGCCTCACAGCAAGAAGGTCGCTGGTTCGAGCCTCGGCTGGGTCAGTTGGCATTTCTGTGTGGAGTTTGCATGTTCTCCCCATGTTAGCGTGGGTTTCATCCGGGTGCTCCCACAAGTCCAAAAATATGTGGTGACATTGGGTAAGCTAAAATTGTCCGTAGTGTATGTGTGTAAATGAGTGTGTATGGATGTTTCCCAGTGATGGGTTGCAGCTGGGTGGCAACACAGTGGCACAGTAGGTAGTGCTGTTTCCTCACAGCAAGAAGGTTGTTGGTTCGAGCCTCGGCTGGGTCAGTTGGCGTTTCTGCGTGGAGTTTTTCCTGCGTTCGCGTCGGTTTCCTCCGGGTGCTCCGGTTTCCCTCACAGTCCAAAGACGTGCAGTACAGGTGAATTGGGTAGACTAAATTGTCTGTAGTGTATGCATGTGAATGGGTGTGTATAGATGTTTCCCAGAGATGGGTTGCAGCTGGAAGGGCATCCACTGCGTAAAACATATGCTGGATAAGTTGGTGGTTCATTCCACTGTGGCGACCCCAGATTAACTAAAGGACAAAGCCGAGGAGAAAATGAATGAGTATAGGCAATGATAGACAAGACAATGTTTGATTAAGATGAAGTGTTTTAAAATGCTTATTTATTAAAATAAAGGTTACAAAGTAAAGAAGAAATATATTGTGTGTTTGTATATTTATTTCACTGCCTTCAAGATTTTACATTGTAAACTAAAGGGAACAAGGGGGGAACAAATGTTGTATTTACCCTTTAACTACAGGTAACAAGGGAGGAACAGTGCTTCACTTTAATTTACAACCCTCAAATGTGGTATTTACCCTGTAAGTACAGGGAACAAGGGGGTAACAAGGGAGGAACAATGCTTCACTTTAATTTACAACCCTCAAATGTGGTATTTACCCTGTAAGTACAGGGAACAAGGGAGTAACAATGCTTCACTTTAATTTACAACCCTCAAATGTGGTATTTACCCTGTAAGTACAGGTAACAAGGGAGGAACAGTGCTTAACTTTAATTTACAACCCTCAAATGTGGTATTTACCCTGTAGGTACAGGTAACAAGGGAGGAACAGTGCTTCACTTTAATTTACAACCCTTAAATGTGGTATTTACCCTGTAAGTACAGGTAACAAGGGAGGAACAGTGCTTCACTTTAATTTACAACCCTCAAAAGTGGTATTTACCCTGTAAGTACAGGTAACAAGGGAGGAACAGTGCTTCACTTTAATTTACAACCCTCAAATGTGGTATTTACCCTGTAAGTACAGGGAACAAGGGAGTAACAATGCTTCACTTTAATTTACAACCCTCAAATGTGGTATTTACCCTGTAAGTACAGGTAACAAGGGAGGAACAATGCTTCACTTTAATTTACAACCCTCAAATGTGGTATTTACCCTGTAAGTACAGGGAACAAGGAGGGAACAAATACTGTATTCACCCTTTAACTACAGGGAACAAAGAGGGAAGAAGCTGAACTTTAACACACTAGTGTATACGTGAACACTAAGAACAGAGTAAACTACAGCAGCAGTTTTTATTGATTGAAGACCAAATTACTAGATTTTTCTATAAAGCATCAGCTATACATTTACTGAAATGCAACAGTTAGCCCCCCTGTGCAACAGCAGTAAAGATGCGAGCCTGTTTTAATCTACATTGAACCCTGACGGTAGGCCTATATCATGCAAAGTTATTTGTTGATAGTGAGTTATGGAGACATTGATGGCTTTGGTGAGATCGACGAGTAAACATAAGGTAAGTAGTGTATGGAAATATATTTTATATTGAATTGCAGATTTAAAATACATACAGTATACAATAAGGGTTCATAATTTCACAGGTTGTAAACCTTTTATTCATTAAACACCCCGTATAAAACCCAAGCACTGAATAAGAGTACTAATGTACTCACGCAGGTGCATGTACAGTACATTTGCAGATAGCAATAGGTTGTCACCATCCTTGCATAATTCTTCATATGTATACAATACTTGAAGAAAAGTACATCGTAAACGTAATATACTTACGCGGATCTTTGCTTGATGAATATCTTATTGTTACTCCCCTATTACGCATACATTATGGTTTGTTCTTTTGCAATTTAAAGAAAAGTACAACGTTATTTCACTGTACTTACGCGGTACTTTTCATGCTGAATATCTGGTTGTAACCCCCTTATTACCCAAGCATTACAGTTTGTTCCCTTATACCTAAGTAAGCGTTATTTATACTTACACTATACGTACAGAAAAGTACACCGTTATTTCACTATACTTACGCGGTAATTTTCGTGATGAACATCTGGTTGTTACCCCCTTATTACCCAAGCATTACGGTTTGTTCCCTTATACCTACACATACGTTCATTATACTTACACAGTACGTACAGAAAAGTACACTGTAATTTCACTGTACTTACGCGGTACTTTGCGGGTTGTAAAAGAAAGCGTTACCGATGTCTTTATTCATCCTTAGTCCATATTTATGGTTTCTTTGTTCTGTGTACCACTTTTACAGACAATGTTTATATATTTGACATTACTGTAAGAAAGCCCAGTCACAGCAGACCAATGTCAGGCCTGGATTTACATTGACAGAAGGTTCTTTCCAAGATTTCTGAGTAATGAAAACATGACTGAAATGTAGAGGAGAACCCGTGACCAAATCCACAAGACCAGACTGATGGTAACACAAAATTCCAAAATAGAAATCTGATATATAGAAATATATGCAAATTACATACGTGACATAATAGTTCATATGAATTTTACATATATAAAATATGTTATACATGTCAAAATATTGCCATTTGTTAAAATATATATGTTACGTATATATACGATCCATTATGTTATATTTTTTTACCCCTACAAATATATATATATATCATATGGTTGAAAAAAATATAAACAATGATTTTTTTCACTATTTTGACAAATTATTGACTATTATGACATTTTATAATAATGTAATTTGCAGATGGGACCATATATCATGTCATTTATCAGCTTTCTATATGGGGACGTGAAGTGAGAAAAAAAAATACAGTAAACCTACATTATGATGGAATGATAAAAACTAGTTCAGTATATCCACTGTCTGCACTGTTTCCCTTTACACTTATAGGCCATAATGAAACCTGTATCATATATTTTAAACAACAATATTTAATGATTGTTAATGATTGTTTATTGAAGCGATGTACATCTTGTGTGCTGCTGGTGATCTAAAGTAGTGTTCCTGTAGTATTTGTATTATAAAAGAATTATGTGAATCAATGATCCTGCAAATGCAAGACTTCTTTAAGGAAATGAATGCTGTATGCAGAACACTGGAGAGTGTTAAAAGTAGTGACTGTTTAGGATTTTGTATCTAGAGTTTTTTTAATTGACATCAGGGTTCTGAAATTTGTGGCAAAACAATTGGAAAAAAACTGTAACACATAATGAAGATCAAGGGCAAACAAATAAATGATGAGCTTAGAGAGTTTTAATTCATTTTAACATACAGAGATAACCATTTGTAGAAAATACATTTAAAGGTGTTTTTAAAAAGGAGGTAGGGGTAGCTGCAGCCTGGAGAAATGGGTGTGATTAAAGGTGGGAGGGGCCAAAATGTAAAAGGCGTGGCTAAAGGTTTTTCATTGGTTTAAGGTTCCCTTTCCGGTAAATGCGAAGGCCAATCACGGTTGGGGGAGCAAAAAGTAAGGGGCGGAACAAAAGGTTTTTCATTGGTTAAAGGTACTTTTCCGGTTAAATGCTGCCAATCAGCAGTAACGAAATGCATAAACAGTTGCAGACGTAATTTCCTTTAGTTTAGACAGCAGAATGGCGACGGTAAGATGTGTTGCTGTTAACAGACACGTGTTTTACGATAGTTCAGTTTTGTTATTTGGTCAAGTCATCAATTGTCATTCGTAACTCTAATAATTACTTTACGTAATTTGTGGTTGATAGAGACACGTTACGGTGAGAAGCGAAGATGACGGGGATGACTGCATTTCTATTGAACAGTACCAAAGTGGTAGTTTGTATAGGTGTCCCTTTTGTGCAGATGTTTTGAGACCTGTTCATATGATTTATAGTCATCTGCAGAGTCACAAAATTCGAGCAATTCATCACGACCGTAAGTACCCAATTATTTTGTGGTTTGCATTTTAAGATGATTTATTTGGGTGATAACGTTATGTGATGACGTGAAGAGCGATTCTACATCTGATGTATGCCAATATGTACGTGTAAATTGCATAACTTATATGACATACAAGCTCATATGTGATACATATAAAATGCCATGTATGCAACATGTATTTTCGAAATATAGCAAATATGTCCACTTTAGAAATATCCTTTTAAAGAGTGTGTACACACACAACTGGACATTGCAATGACTAAGTCAACTGTATTTTCACTATTACTGTTTTAAACCTACATTACTACAAAATATATATAAAATATAGCAGTGAAATACAAGTTTCAGTATTGTTTTGTATTGAATTTTTGCTTTCCCTAAAGTTAATGTTAACTGTCTATCACTAATTTTAAAAGACAACAATTGATTATAGCACACATTTAATCTGTTTTAGTATGTTTTAATTTCCGTTTGTTAATTAACTAATATAGGTTTGTAATATCTGCTATTTATTATTCACTGAAAAACAACAAGTAAATGACAAAACAAAAAAGATTTCAGCTTTTTAATGCTGGCCAAAAGTCTATAAAAGTTTCGAATGATAGTTCAGCCAAAACTTGCTATCATTTACTCAACTTTTACTTGTTCCAAACTAGGCGGTATAAGTTTCTTAGAGTATTTTAAATGTATTTTTTTTTTTGCAATATTTTACAATTGTTGCCTATATGACACCTTATGCATATAAAATATGAATTTGTATGTCATATATGTGATTTGCATATTTTCCTTGTCAGATTAATTTTTTTTGTTACATTTGAATGTTTTTTGAAACATGCTTTAAATGGTTTTAATAAATGCTTTTTTTTAATCTGTATTTTTGCAGATTTCATAATTTATGACTGTCACTTGGATTGCCGAAAAAATAAGCACTATCACTGCTGCTACTGTTCCAAAACGGTTATAAACAAGTCCGATTTCATCAAGCACATACATTTTTGTAAATATTCTTCTACTCATTGCACCAAGACAGCTCGACAACAAACTCCTCTTGCTACTCTAAACCATGAGACTGCACCTCCACTTAACACTCTAAACAGTGAGACGGCACTTCCAGCTAGTGCTGTAAACCATGAGACGGCACCTCCACCTAGCACTCCAAAGAGTGAGACGGCACCTCCACCTAGCACTGTAAACCGGCCGATGGCACCTCCACCCAGCACTCCAAACATTGAGACGGCACCTCCACCTAGCACTGTAAACCGGCCGATGGCACCTCCACCCAGCACTCCAAACATTGAGACGGCACCTCCACCTAGCACTGTAAACCGGCCGATGGCACCTCCACCCAGCACTCCAAACATTGAGACGGCACCTCCACCTAGCACTGTAAACCGGCCGATGGCACCTCCACCCAGCACTCCAAACATTGAGACGGCACCTCCACCTAGCACTGTAAACCGGCCGATGGCACCTCCACCCAGCACTCCAAACATTGAGACGGCACCTCCACCTAGCACTGTAAACCGGCCGATGGCACCTCCACCCAGCACTCCAAACATTGAGACGGCACCTCCACCTAGCACTGTAAACCGGCCGATGGCACCTCCACCTAGCACTCCAAACAGGCAGATGGCACCTCCTCCAAACAGGCAAACGGTACATCCTACTATCACTCCAAACCAAGAGACCGCCAAGGTGACAGTTGTTCAAAGAAAGCAGGAGCAAAGGGTGAATTGTCCACACTGCAATATTTGTATTTTAAAGAAAAATCTTAAAAAACACACCCAAAGAGCTCATTCAAATATTGAGCATGACGTCACTGCACTGTCTTGTCTTCGAAGCCTGTGCATTGATGAAAAAAATGGTGTGTTCGCCGTTTCAAAATCTTCAAAAGGCCCTTGCATTCCTGTCCATGTAATTAAAAAGACATGGGGCAGTTCGCATAAGGTGACTTGCGATGTTGACATCTGTAATGCGCTAATTGATTTTAAAAGGAGATCTGGTATGCGATCCTGTGAGTGTACCCACTTAAAATCAGTTAATTATTGCAGATCAGATGCTTCAAAAGTTTCCTTACAGGAAGAGGTTTTGCAAGAAATGGTCACCCAGAGATGGTTTGCAGAGGATCGCAAGAAACAGTGTATAAATTTGCAAAAAAAAGCAGAGGAAGAAGATACATGTCTTGCATCTTATGTTGACATTGGAAGTGCATCTCATATGCATTACATCTCCGTATTTGAGCCAAAAGTTTCGTTTTATAACCGTTTGGGCAGAATTATGGTTCTTTATAATGCCAAAAATAACACATGGCATTGCCCTTGCAGTAGACCGAGGCACTCCTGCATACACAAGGCAGTGTCCAAGTGGTTGCTTTTTCAAACAAAGCGAAATATGTTCAGAAAAGTGAAGAGCACTGAGGAGGACTTGGCCACAAAGTCTTTATTGCCAGCAGATCCTGATCATACTTTGGCAAAAGATGATTCTAAGAGCACTGTGTACCCTCCAACAAATGATGATCTCAAGAAAATGGTGCAATACATTTTCACCATAAAAACGATACCATCTTCCCTTCCTTCATCAACAACAAGTTTTTGTGAAAAGGAGTTCCCAAAAGTACTTGTTCCAGATGAAATGCTCTGCTCAATGTGTTCAGAAAAAGTACCACTCAGTGACCCTTTGCTCATCTCCAAGAAAGCCAAAATTGTCACAACAATTGGAATAATCGAAGGTTGGTATTTGTTAGCTAGAAGCAAATAATTTAAATGAGTATTAAATTTATTTACTATTAACTGCATGCTTGTTTGCTTGTTTTTAGATGTTGAAACGTATTGCAAGAAATGCCCAGTGTGTGGCCTTTCATATCGCTACCAAGAATGGAACTCTGGTCTGCATAACTATGATGACCACATCATACTAAGTGTGAAATTTTGTCTGCTGCTTAGAAGTTTCCTACAGGTATAGTAGATGGATTATCATACCCTGGGGTGTCCAGATACCTAAAGGACAGCTGTTCTGCATAGTTTAGCTCCATCCTGCCTCAAGACATGGTGGGAGGTTTTTAGTGTATTGCTTATTAAGGTGTGTTACATTGTCATTAAAGCTAAACTTTGCAGAACAGTGGTTGTTTAGGATTGGAGTTATATTGAACATTGTTGTCAATAATAATATGTAATTTCCTCTTTTAGTCTCACACTGCAGTTGAACGAGTCTGTAAAGCTCTTTCTGTATCTACTGGAATGCATTATCCAAGCAGCAAAACTGTGCTTTGTGCTTATCTGCACTTTGAAGCCTTGACTGACCACAATTATCAGTTTTCCTGCTTAAAGTGTGGATTCCATCCATCTGTTGTTATCATGGATGCACATCGAAAAGGAGTTTTTAGTATGCCAGGTATGATAACTGTTTAAATTTTAATGTTTGAATTATCTGCCTCTTTCTCCATTGTTTAATTTAAAAAAAAATTATCAATTTGTCCATTCTGTGTAACTATCCAGTTACCTAACTACCTTTTTTTGTAGTAAGTGAAACTGAAAAACCGCCTGCAAACTTTAATGGACATGTAGATGTGGAGGCGTTTTGGAATTCCCTGAGATTGGAAATTATTGCAAGAGGTCTTGTGCCATGTAAGTTTGTTTATTTTGTGTTTGATGCATTCAGTTTAGTAGATGTACTAAGCACACAGTTCAGATATGTTTATCTTTTCTTTAGCTAAAATGTTTACATTTTGTTTTTTTTGTTTTTTAAGTAAAAGTATACTTGTTATAATGATACTAATTATAGTATTATTGGTGTTGTTGGTTCTTTTTACAGGTGGGAACCACAATCCATTTGCTGTTAAACCAAATTTTCACCTTTGGGCACCTTGGATTGGAGTTAACACCAGGAAGTCTGGAACTGTTTTGAATACTGAATGGGAAAAAGTTCACCCATCAACCTCTAATCCAGTATCTGAACTTCCAGTTTCTGAGGAGAGGCTAATTGATGAGCTGATGAAACTGAAGGTAACCTTTTCTGACAACTTCTAATATTGTGATAGTACTAACTGCATTCTCAATTATTTCAAGTTAGTTTTTTATTAGTGGATTTGTTGTTGTTATTTATTACTATTATTTTAAATATTATGTTTTAGGTTAGTGCTGTCCGACGCCTATGTGAGTCTTGCGGATTAGGTAAAAAGGGATCGAAGATGGACCTCATAACAAGACTGAGGAGTGAAATGCAAAGCAGGTCATCTTACGACAAAATATTTCAGAAGGTTTGGGGTGCATCAGGTTTGTGTAATTCTATAGTTATTTCTCTTTATTATTCACAACAATTGCATTGGATTTATTTTTAAAATAATAATATTGTTTTAAAAGAACAAATTGCTGAAATCATTTTATTATTATCTAGGGGGTTGGGCAGTTGTGATGTGCCCCTGCGGTGTTGTTTACAGCCTTAAAGTTTTGATGAGAGCTGAAAGTCCACGGGACTTTACTGACATTTTAATGTCCTGGAAACATCTCCCCAATGTGACCATTTATGATTTTGCAAGAGGACTGGCTGCTCATGCAAATCTTCGCAGTCCGAACATGATTCCCTTCAGTCCACACGAAGGTCGACTTTTGGAGCCAAATGAAGCCAATATTACAGCAGCAGAGAAGGGAAACCTGAAAGTTTCTTTAAAGTGGCTTAAAGAGAAGAAATTCCCTTCTGATGTAAATGGGCATCCATTAACTGGCACATCTGAGCATTACGTTCTCTATGACCGTTTCCATGAAAACAACACCAAAGATTCACGCGATAAACTTCGCAAAATACAGCTTGTACCAGAGTTGGCTGGAAGAGTGAATTCTCAATGTGCTGAGCAGTTGTTTTCTCAAATGAGAAAAAACAACTATTTTCTGAATGTAATGAAGCCAACAAACCATGTGTTCCTCATGCGTAACCTGTTGCACCACTACAATGTTGCAAAAAATAATAGGTTTGTTGAACAACTTGCCAAGCATGTTGGTTGCACTGAGGTTACCCTGGACCAGCATGGGCAAGCACTGTCAGGTAAAAGATCAATTGGCATGTTTGAATTGTTTTTCGCAATTTAAAGTTAGCAGCACAATAATCAGATTTTCCTTTAAAAAAATAATTTGACTGGTATGCTTTATTTCTAGGGTCATCTTTTGAAAGCAAAAACAAGAGCAATGGTGAGCCAAACGCACAAAAGGTGGCTGCAAGAAAATTGAAAGATTACTTGAAGACCTCCTGGGAACAGCCATTGACTAAATCAGTGGAGGAAAAGGTGTTTAAATGAGAATTTTATACGATGTGAGGAGCATCAAATTTTTAGTATTTAAATGTTGATTTATTTATTTCCCCCATATAGCTCACGGATGTGCTAGACACAAATAAAAGTCAGAGCGAACATGTGGCACGCATTTATTCCACCACCCTGATGCGAGAAGATTTTCAGACGCTGGGATTAGAACGCGATGCTGAGGCAACGGTATGTAATCTTTTTTTTTTTCTTTCCAAAATGACTGGTGACACTTAATAAATTTGCTCATTAATGTTATAATGTTTGTTATTATAAAGCAATAACAAATAGTTAATCATTTTAAGCATTAAAGCTACCTTTAATAGACATTTGTAAGCAGTTTTAAGTAAAGTTACAAATGCACAAAAGGTGCATTCTTGACTTATCACATGTATAGTGTGCTTAACGCTTGTATTTTCATATTTAATGATTCTTTTTTCACTACAAAATAATGTGTTGAAGTGTTATTTTTATCAGTTATTGAAGAGTACTTGGTGGTGTTCAATATCATTAAGTATTAGCAAATGATTAATAAACTATTTTAATTAATATTTTCACTTTTTTTGTCAGGCACTTGGCAATGGTTACTTTGTATAACAATTAATGTTTTATTGAGACAATTTCCCAGTTTTGTCACCTAATCTAGTGAGGACTATTTGTTCTTTGTAAATCCCTTATAAATGAAAATTAAAGGCTCTTTATTGAATGGACAATAAATCTTTACATACATATAAAAATAATTAAAATGGTCAACAAAATACAGCATTCAGTTTTGCAAAACAGCATTTTGATATAACTATAAAACATTTCAGTGTTTTCAGATATATTTAAAGGGTAATTTTATTTACAGATAAGATTGCACCGATTTATTTTCATTTACTGATAAGATTGCACAGATTTTTATTTTTTTTAAATGGGTACTTTTTTGCATTTTAAAATTAGTTTTTTGCTCTGAATAGTAGATTTCCTTTTTTTAGTTTAAATTATATCTGAGCCTTTAATTGTCAGTTAAAAGAGTTTTACATATCATAAATAGTTCTCACTTAAATTGCCTTTAATAAAGCTTTTATTAACACAAAGTAACGATTACTATATGCCCAAGAAGTAATATCTATAAATTTTGATTTGAATAGTTTATTAATCATTTATTTATTTTTTCTGAATTAAAAAAAAAACACCAGCTACTCCAAATAGTTTGTTAACCATGCAATCATTAACAATGTATGAAAATACAATCATTAAGCACATTTATAAATGTGATTATATGTCAAGACAATAGTATTTGTAGCAGTATTTTATAAATAGCTTATTAATGTCTATTGATGAAGAGTTAATGCTTAACAAATGAACTATATGCTTATGTTTGATAAATGATTCATGGTGCATGGTTGTAAAGTGTTATGTATTACTTTTGCTTTCCATATAATTTGTTCAAGTGAACCATTTTTTTCTTCATAGATTTTGAATTGCTGTTTCAAGATAATAGAAGACATCAGCGCATTGCAGGTAACTTTTGTGTGTAAAATTAAAGAAATAATAACTAAATCTATTTTGTTTATATTTTTATTTTTAAATTTTTTTTTTTTGTTATTAGGGTGTTCAAGTCTGGACTTCGAACAGCTATGTAAATGCAACTTTGATTCCACCGCTGTGTGCAGATCCCATGTTACATATCCCTGTAAGGATTTATACTTTGCATAATCAATGTAATATTTTAATGGTTAGTTGGTCTGGTTTATGGTGATGATGATTTGGATTTCATCAACTGAAATTCCTTACTATATGTTCTAGGCAACGTAACATTAAGTATTACTATAAAACAAAGAAGGCAACCCCTTTCTGCAAAGTACAAACTCTGCAATATTTTGTCATAAATTGGGTTGTACTTTTGTGACAGGTTGATGCATCTGCGAAAGACTGCATTTTGTTTCCATCATGGAGCAAGTCACACTGGATGATTTGTGTAAGTTATTGGTATGATATGTTCAAGTTTTTTCAAATAAATGTCAGGATATTTTGTTTTTAACAACATTTTGCAGATACTGCGTCCAAAGCTCAAACAGCTTTTTTTACTTGATTCACTCTGCAAGAGTGGCTTAAGTGATGGCAGATACAGTCAAGTGTACAGGTCTTTTACAAGTTCAATAGCTCTTGTTCAGAAGTTCTGGTTCAGCAGTTCTTGCTCAAGCGTTCTTGCTGTATGGTGGTTCAGTTTTAAACCATTCAGCTCTTTTGTTTTTGTTCCTTTTTAATTTTGTTCTGTATTTATTTATTGTTTCTGTGGTTCTTCTGGGAATGATGTGGAAACTAATAAGTTTTAAATGTGAATTTTAAGTATATGAATTAAGAAAATTTTTTTAAAAGGACAATGTAAAACTCATCATTCCCAAAAAAGCATGCGCCATGGTTCTGTTATTGATTCAGATTCATGTAAATTTACTTGCTGTTGTTGATTTTTGCGTGTTTGGCACATTTAATAGGAGAGTTGCCCAGAAAATTGTTCCTGGACATTGGACTGAGTTGTCCTGTCAGGATCTTTCAGTAAGTTCTTCAATAATTACAGCCATCCAACATGCAATATAAAACAATCTTGTTTAAATGTTAATTCTTTTTTTTTTTTTTTGAATGTTCATTTTTATTCCTAACATTACCCAGAATATTCCAATGCAGAGTTTCTCAAAAAACTGTGGAGTCTTTATGCTCATGGTAAGTTTAACAATTTACATGGACATCCGCATTAACAGATTTAGATCTTGACAATTTCTTTGACTTTCAGTATGCCTTGTACATCGCACTTGATGTTGATTTTGACTTTTCTGAGGTGAGTCTTTGCTCAACACTTTGTTAGCCAGTATAAAAGAAGGATTTTTCAACATTGTAGTAATTGTCTTTTTTTTATTTGAAACAGGCTAATATGACAAAAATAAGGAGATGGTGGTGTGGGCTCCTGCTTGAAGGCTCAGGGTAAATTATTATTATTTTTTTACATTTTAAAGTGAAGGCAGTTAGCACTGCAATTAATATAATTTTTTTTTTCTCAAGGTCTCCTGTCAAACGAAAAAGGCCCAGAAAAATGGAATGCGTGTCTCAGGCACCTGTACTCTCGGGTGAAAACAAATGTAGTAAGTTAATAAAAAATAGAAAAGTTGTCACAAAGTATCACTTGATTCATATGTTTAATGTTATGACAAATTATAGCAAATATACATTTATACATGTAACTTTTACCTTTTGCCATTTATTGCATCTTTGTCTTTTATTTTAAGTGTTAAATAGAGGTTTGTATGTAGCATTGTAAAGGTGATGCACTTGACAATATCTTAGTTTTTCCTCTTTCAGCCATGGATCCAAAAGGAGGCCTTTGTGATGTATGTTTGAATATATTTTATTAGCCTAGCTTTAGTTTTTTTATTTCCCATTTTACATTTGTCATTTATTTTGTGTATAAATTTTGTCTTTAATTCAGTTACCATCAGACCTGCTCAGACAGATTCTTCTAGATGTTGTTTTCGATGAAGGAGATGGAGCCTTCCTCACACTCTCACTTGTGTGCAGAAAGTTTTGTGACATTGCCTGCAGTCAAGTTTTCCGTAGAAAATATCACTTGGCCTGGCTCGACAGTATGTGTTCTTTACTTTAATTAAATGAATAAGGTGTTTTAAATAGATTTTCATTTGCTAATATCTTTTTTTTTTTTTTTTGTAGGCATCACAGACTGGAAATCTACAAGTCCAGATATAAAAGACAAATACAGAGTGGAGTTCAAACTCTCCACATGTGAATCATGTGGTTGGCTGTACAAAGACACAATTGGATACTGTGGTGATGGGAAGAAAGGGGTGTATAGAGCTTTTTATTCTGACAAAGAGTTCGATGGCTACTGCTCGATGCACTGCTTCTATACAATGAATGACTGAATGAATGGATGGCTGGATTTGTAGTTACGGATGGTATTCGTGGCTAACTGATGGATGATTGGATTTGTGGTGAATGGAAGAGGATGGATTTGTTTATTTGATTTAAATTTGTTTGTTTTTTGCTGATTAAACAAATGTTTCATGGACTTGTGTCTGTTTTAAACTGAATATTGTTTTTAACATAAGGCTAATAAGTTTTTATCATAATTAATTTTGTAATATTTGAACATTTTACCACACAAAACGGACTTGTCAAAATCAACTTAATTTTTATTATTAGGCATTACTTTTAGTATCACAAAGAAACAACCAAATCACGATTTAATTTAACTTGAATTGAACAACTTTCGCTTTACTGCACTTTTAAATAGCCACCATGAAGAACAAACAAAGTGGTTTATGGTATTTGTATCAAGCAGAAAAATTCTGATTTACACATTACTTTAATAAAACTACAATGCACTCAAATTCATGTTGATGACGTAAGTTACCCGCGACCTTGAGGAATGCCGGTCTAATGCACTTTCAAATTAACGTTTATAATGATTTTTACAGCGAAAGCATGTTATGATTATATTTAATTCAATCCTCTGTCTTTATTCGGCTATTGCTTTTAAAAAAAACACTCAAGACCTCTCGATGGTGATGACGTAAATTCGCTAACAGCCTGTGACTAAATTAGATAGATGACTTTCCAAATTACTTTTAAAAATATTTATAGTAATATTTTTAAGCAAATGTTGTGATTACGTTTAATTTATTCTTTATTCTAAACGAGAAGCGTTTAATAGAACAATCCACCTTTATGCTAAAGGAGCAGCTTATTGTCAATCTGTTTATACGTTAATGTGATTGGCCAACGCATTTAACCGGAAAATAAACCTTTGACCAATGAAAAACCTTGTGCCACGCCCCTAGCGAAAAAAATTTTGACCAATGAAATACCTTTAGCCACGCCCCTACCTTTAACTCCGCCCATTGCTCCAGACTGCAGCTACCCATACTAGTTAAAAAGTGTTAAATTACTTTAAAACGGAAAAACAAATCGCCAATAGGTGGCAGCAAGAGACCGCTTTAATCGAGTGAAGCTTTAAGTGATTCATTCAGCCACGAATCACTGATTCAGTGACTCGCCCGACTCTATACAGAGTCCTGAACCATTCGTGTAAGGAAACGCCACTGTGTATTATTCAGAGATGGCCAACTGTTCTGCTGTTTATTTTATTATTATCATAGTAATGATTTCACTATTATTAATGAGAAAATAACGCGGAAGTTTTTAGCGCCTCGTCACGTGATCGTCAACATCCATGGCAACGGTTCTTTTTGTGTTGTTTTGAACTTCGCTCATTGGCATCTGATCTCGGCGTCCTTCGTGGCTACTGATTCCCAGATTATTGATTGTTGGATACATCGATTTATCGTCTGCTTCTCCCATCATTCAGGTTTGACCCTTGTTATACCACTGTGGTTTGTATTCAGTATGTCTTGTGTTCATTACAGGTTTCAGAGTCGACTCACCTACGACTCGCTCCAGTTTGAGGGCCTCAACATCACTGTGGGAGAGCTGAAGCGGCAGATCATGAGGCGCGAGAGGCTGAAGTTCTGCCAGCTGAAGATCAGCAAAGCCCAAACTGATGAAGGTGAGATGAGGAAAAGCCACTTAAACTATACTACACTAACATTAGATGTGTTATCAGACAGACTTGTAGAAGCTGACATGTGTTATCATGACTCTGATGGTGACATATAGTGATGTTTTGAGTGTTTTAAAATGCTAATGGCACTCAAAGTATACTATGGTAAATGATTATTACTATATTCAAACTTTATTTTGCTGTCAGAATACACAGATGATGATGCTCTCATCCCCAAAAACACATCGGTCATCATCAGACGGGTCCCTGCTGCTGGGCTGAAGTCATCAAACAGAAGATTTGTTGGGTAAGTCATGTGAAATGAGCGCAATCGTCCTCTGATAGATGTTATATCAAGAGTTTGAGTCTGTCTGTGGTGTTTTAGTCACACAAGCTCCTTTGTTTTGTTTTGCAGACATCAAGCTGGACCATCAGCTAAATCTTCTCAAACAGGTGATTCTTCACTCCTCTCACTGGAGCAGCTGTTGAAGGTATTGAACAAATGATTAATTCACCCCACTGTGCTGCTCTGTATTGAACTGCAGTGTTTGCATTTGAGGCGTCATAATGACATGTAGTGCAGAATATCAGTACACTGTGTAAAACACACACACACACACACACACACACACACACACACACACACACACACACACACACACACAGCTTCTTAGGCAGACCAGTAAAATAAAATTCTAATGTGCAAATGCCTGTGAAACAGACTCAGAATCTGGCTGAGGCAAAGGCATCAGAGGAGGACAAGCTAAAAGCGGTGATGTACCAGTCCAGTCTGTGCTACTACTCCAGCAGGTGAGTGTCAGACACTGACAGGTTTGGTTTGTGAGAAATGTTAGAGCTGATTCTCATGGTTCTGATGTTTATCAGTGAGGCCATGACACTGCTTGGGCTTCTTCCACCCAACTATGTCTGCTTTCACTGTGGGATCCCAGGACACCACATTAGGCACTGCCCCTCTAAAGGGGTAACTGGGTTTTCTAAGCTTATGGTTGCTGTGAACTTGAGCTCTTGTCTCCATCAGTCAGATTGTTTGCTCTGTCGTTTGACTGTCACTCATGAATTCACAGGGCAGCAGCTCTGCTCCGCATAAGCACATCCGGAGGAGCACAGGGATTCCCCGCAGCTTCCTGTTGGAGGTGGACGACCCAAACCGAAAGGGAGTCATGATGGACGGCAGCGGCAAATACGTCATTCCCATCATAGACGCGTGAGTAAACTGTACTTGGCATTGCAGCATGTTCTATTGTTTGTGAAAATCTCACATTATGTCTGCTTGTGTGTGTTTGCGCTCGATCTGTTCAGTGAGGCCTATGCTGCTGAGAAGAAAAAGAGGCCGTCCTTCTCCTGCCAGACCAAGCCACTATCCTCCTCTTCCTCAGCTGGTGCAGCATCTTCAGTCCAGGACGCCAGAGGGAAACGTTCCCGATCCCCATCTCCACCAGAGACGCACGGCGACCAGAAGAGACCACGTCACTGAGAGACCTTCACCCAAGAGATCTGGAGCTGACGTGAGCACAGTGTATATATTGTACATAGTTTATGAATAAAACTGAATAAAGATTATAGCAGCATAAACTGTGGACTGGTTGACCTTCACACAATACAGAAACACAACAGAAAATGATCAACACATTAAGATAGAAATGATGAACAAACATGCTGCGGGAGAACCAGTGTGCTGTCCTGCTCACAATCTAAAACTTTTAGTTAAAGTCTATTTCAGAGGTGCTTCAGGGAAACTTTTTCTTATGAAAGGCCAAAAACTAAACTCGTCTGAGGGTGGTGGGCTGGAGGTAAATCTACCAAACTGTAAAATTGTCAATGTAATTTCCTAGTTTATTATTATTATTCATTATATAATTTACATGATTCACTGAATACTGTAATTTACAACATTTCAAATTCTTTAATTGTATTAATAATTATACATTTTATAATGAATGAAAATCTCACAATAAAACATGAACAATCCCATTTATAACACTAAAAATACACTTTGCCTTTGCTTGCTGATGTCTTCTGTAATGTCTGCTCTCCTTCAAGTGACTATTATTTAATTTGATTCATTCACAACATTTCATTGAAACGTTTAATTTCAGTTTGTTTATTTTTGTATCTCAACAGTTAAAAAACAAAGTTATGTTGTATTAGAAATGACAATCTCTGTTAAAGACTTTCCCCCAAAACTCCCCATCATTATCCCTCTGTTCTCAGATGGGATGGAGGGCCAAATCAAAGGTTACAGTGGATCCACTTTGGCCCACGGGCCCTAGTTTGGGCATCTCTGATTTACACCGATGACATGCTCATCTAATCAATCCTGGCCAAACAAAATGTTGCAGCTCATCTGGTCTTCAATGATCCCAAGAGAGCCCACGTCACACCTCTCTTACCTCTCCACTTACACTGGCTGTCAGCTGAAGGTTCAAAACATCTCCACTTGCTACTTGCTACACTTGCCCCTCTGTCCAGAAGTGAGCACTGCCTCTTAGAACCATCCCATCAAGGATTTGGGGGTGTTTAACCCTTCTGTGCTGTTGGTGAAGTTTTGGTCCACTCTGGGCTGATTTTGAGGCTTAATTAACCAATAACTTTCTCTGTGGTTCAGCAAATGGGATGATTTTTGGTGACAAGTCTTGTTGACACATATTTTAGGAAAATACTTTTAGAATTTTTTAAAAACTCAACAATACACTCTGGGCAAATTTACCACCCTTTCATTGTGTTCATGGCTGCTTTTGCCCAAGTGATTTCCATTATTTTTAAATGCAGCGTCATGACAGCGTATAATCATGCATTTTTGATTGTTGGTGGTTTTTCCTGTTGGGAAGAGGTAAGATTTGTGATTTTTACTGGTGATCATCAGTTACAGTTCAAAAAAGCTTGATTTCTTGCTTTTATTTGGTGTTTAGTGAGTGTGTGAGGTTGTAAGAGAGACTTTTACACACATATATTGATGTGTAGGAGAAAATACAAAATAGGCACCTCAGCTGTCAGAACATAGTAAACATAGTAAGTGTACTTATGCATGCACTCTATAAATTGCAGTTTTACTCCACAGAACTCCATATAAAAGTCAGACACGCTTTTGCACGGGGCAATGTGAAGGATTTAATGGTGCCAACTGATGATCAACAGTAAAAATGAAATTTGACCTCTTCCTAAGTGGGAACCCACAAACCAGAGTTGGTGCTGGTCAAAAGGAGACCCTAAGATAATTTTTACTGCGGTGCTTCAGCAGAGAAACAAAAACACACAAACATATGTGTTTAAATGTGTATTCATTTATTATATATAAAAATATGCATATAAACACTCAACATTAAATGTTTCATAAAATAACAGTTTACGTCAAACACTGACATGTCTTCTGCAGAAGGATTCCTAATTGCAAATGTTACGATCCTTGATGGAAATTTGTCTAGGGTATTAAAAGGAGTAACAAAGATGACCAAAGTATAAACTGATGTTGAAGAATGGCAAGAGAAAAC